GAATAGCTGCAGTAGCTTTATTCGTAAATATCACTGTAACAGAAACATAGCTGTTAGACTTATGCAGTACATTCTTGCAGTTAAATTCCACACAGCTACACACAACACACATTAAGTGGGATGGCAAAATTAAAACGCTTCAAAGAAAAAGCAAGGTTTATGTAAGCATTTAAATACACATAAAGTTCAAAGTTAACAAGACTGAGTTTCATTTAGAAATTCATTTCATGGGTACTTGGCAAAACATATTTGGGATCTGGGGGCTTGATTCAGTAAGATTGTTTGCTATACAAGCATGAAGCTGAACTCTAATCCTCAGCTCACACATAAGTATGCTGTTACAGTATGCATTTTTTAAATGAAAATTTTCACCTTTTTAAGCTATCAGGTTCCTAAGTGGGTTTTAGTACATGTAGGGGGAATGATTCAACTGGTAGAAAAGGAGAAATATTTGATTACAATTATAATTGGATTAGGGCAGGCTGACCTAACTAGAATTTTGATGCTGCATATAGAGGAGCCTGACCATCACGAGTTTTCACTTAAGAGATTATCTTCTGAAAGAAATTCTTTTCTATGGGTCTGTGTGTTTTCTTCTGAAATCAGGAACTGGGTAAGCAGAGCAGAAGTCACCTTTTCTAGGATCAGTGCAGGAGCAAGAAAGACATGGATGAAACAGAAAACTTCTACACCAGAGAGGACTTCTTTCTGTTAAGCTTCATTCATTCACCTGTCCACTAACTTCACTTGGAGAAATTTTACTAGCTGTATGTTAGTGCCAATCATTGTTTTAAGTGGTTGGCCTATAGCACTGAGCATGCCCTCATGGAACTCACGTTCTACGTGTTCTGCATGGAGGCGGTGAAGCAGTGACTTTACCGTAACGCAGGACCACACAGGTGCTATGTAAAAGGAAAAAAAAGAAAAAGAGCAGAATATGGAAGACAGACAACAGTACAGGACTCTAGAGGATGGAAGGGAACAACAGCGGCAGCCTTCACCAGGGATGTCACAGCTGGCTGGTCTCCTCTGAATGGGTAGGAAGAGCCTTTGTGGACACCAAGAAAAGGCCCTACGGCAGAAGTAACTGCGACTAAGCATGAAGGTACGTAAGCCAGAAAGACGTCAGGCACGAGCCTCATAGGCAAACTTTGGAGCCCGCCTGTTGTAGGAATGTTTGGCTTTTCCAGGAAGGGCTATAGGGTGCCCACGCACCTCCACTGTCCATGTGTTCCTTCCCTTGTCAATCTCATTCAACTTTATTTCAAAAATTACTGGAAACACAGTGTTGTAATATGAAAAGTTGAGTCTTCCGTGTTCTTTAAGATTTTCTTATATTTTTACTTCGTACGTGTGTGAGTGAGTGTGTACCCACTGAAGCCAGAAAAAGGTGCGCAATCCCCTGGAGCTGGAGTTAGAGAGCTAGCGTAAGCTGCCTGACATGTATTCTACAAGAGCAGTCGGCACTCTCTACCTCTGAGCCACCTCTCCAGCTCTGCTTTCAATTGTCATTGGAATACCTTTTGCTGGAGTTTTTATTGGGCTGTTTGCATTTTCAGCATTATGTGTATTAGACACAGGAGTAGAGCTAAATATTTGTTAAAGACTTTACAAAACTGACCTTCTAATCCGACATTTAGATGTTGACTTTGTTCACATCTCCTATTTTTAGCTTATGTAGCCCTGGCTCTCCTGGAACTTACTATGTAGACCAGAGTGACCTCAAATTCAGAGATCCTTCTGCCTCTGCTTCTCCAGTACTGGACTTAAAAGTGTGTGCCAGGCCTAGTTCATGATAAAAACATTTTTAGAGCCAGGTAGTGGTGGTGCACGCCTTTAATCCCAGCACTTGAGAGGCAGAGGTAAGTGGATCTCTGTGAGTCTGAGGCCGGCCTGGGCTACAGAGATGGTTCCAGGACAGGCTCCAGAGCTACACAGAGCATTTTTAGATGGGGTTCTTGACTCAGCCTCAGAAGCACTGGGATCACAGGTATGGGTCACCACACCCCATTTAAATTTAAAATCAAAGTGATTTTTTAAATAGTTTATTCTAAAGCCATGGGATGTTCTGCCTTCATCAAACTGACCTTCCAAACAAGAGGTACTAGACTTTCTGAATTTTCTTCTGAGGTTTTTAAGGCTTCTTTTATCCCTTTTGGACACCATTTTTCTGTAACCTTTGAAGAAAGAAGTCATACATTGTCTCCTCCATGCAGTCAATTTTGAAATCACACGGACTGCATATAACATCTGACCACACTAAAACACCTTTACTACATTAAAAACGAAGGTGGATAGTGAAGGTGGTGTGATCTAGAAGAGTTGGGACATGTGCCACTGGGAAGGTTTTGAGAATAGGATGCAGAGTACCAGGAATCAGATAGGGTCACCTCAGCTAGCAACACATGGGAAAATAACCTGTCAGACAAGACAAGCAAGAAATCCTGGTACAGGGGATTCTATTTTCCAAATTCAAAGATCTTCTAGCAGAGGACTTGTGAAATGGTTCTGTTGGGGAGCTGCTTGTTGTAAAAGTATGAGGACCTGAGTTTTGACCCCCACAAAGCTAGGTGTGGCAGAGAACACTATCAACCCAACGATGGAAAGCCAATCTAGCCTAATCCAATAGCATGAGCTTTGGTGAAGAGCAACAGAGGAAGACACCGACATGGACCTCTTGCCTTCCCGTGCACATACATGGAACTGCACACACACACACAGGATCTTCTAGAGAAAGAGGATGGGCCAGGAGAAAGGGCCTGCTTTGAAGGAAATGTAAAAGCTATTGCCAAAGAACAAAGTCAGCAAGAGCAGGGAATTATAAGATGATCACAGGAGGAACTGGAGAGAGGATTCCTTTCTGTGGTAATCAGTTTGAAGTAAAAGCACAGAGAAGCTGAGGCAGAGGATTGCCATGAGGCTAGCCTAAGCTACATAGTAATTCAGAGGCTACTCTGGGTTACACAATACAACCTTGCTTGTAAGCTAAAGCAAACCAAACAGGATTAATAGGTATATGATTTTTACCCGAGAGTTAGCTGGTAAGTGATTTTAAGTTTTAGGAAAGGAGACAGCTACTTCTGTCAGCTTGACTGGACCTGGAATCAAATAAAGAGATAAGCTGGCAGGGCCACCTGTAAGGGATTTCCTTGATCAAATTATTTTAAGTAGAATGCCCCATCCTACCTAAGAGTAGCGCCTTCTAGTAACAGAAAGGCTTGGGTTCTGCCTGCCTGCCTTCCATCCTACTGTCCAGTCCATGTCTCCTGTCCTCAGTCACCGTCAGTCCATCCCCCTGCTGCTACCATTCTTTTTGACATCAGAGTCCAGCTTCTTCAGTCTGCCACTGTGGGATGAAGGCCAGTGACTCTCAAGGAATCCTTCAGGCATTCAGAACCAGAATGGAACTGTTTGAGACTGCTGAGACATGCAGCCTTGTGGACTGTGTGATCACTCAGTGTGGACACCCATGCTGCATCATGTAAGCCAATCTGGCAAACCCCCTTTTAATATATATTCATTCTATCAGCTCTGTTCCTATGTTGAACACTAGCTAATACAGACATCTTTCCAACTTCATTTCCTTTTGCTAAGTGTTTTCATTGTTTAAGTCAAAAACTTTATGGTATCATTTTCTTACTATTTGCAGGTCTTGTACGTTAAAAACTGTTTTGGCTTTACCTTTCTCAATACTTCAGACTATTTTAATCAAATGCTTTTAATTTTTGTGAACTAATTTTTCTTATGCTAAATTACAATGGAATCATCAAGTGTTAATAAATCCAAATTTAAATGGACTTATTCAGGGGTTGATAAAGGCAGCTGGAATAAAAAGAACTGGGCATTTTACCATGGAAATTTCATTCCTCTTTTATAACATTCATCCATTCATTCAACCAGTACTTACTCAGCACCTACTATGTACCAAGTACTGTTCTGTATGCAGAGGACACCAGTGAAGAGACAGGGTTCCTACTCTTCTGGAATTCAGGTTCTAATACCGTTAGACAGACAATAATAATATTAGTACCAGCCAATACTGATTTAGTGAGTCTGCTCACTGAGATAGTTCCAAGCACTTTACAAATACTTATGTAATCACTACAGTACCAGAAAGAACTAACCCCACTTTTGCACAGGGATGGAGGGCATCACAAGGGAAAATGGTTTAAGAAACTGTACACAGCTCGGGAGAGCAGAACTGGAGTTAAAGCCAAAAGAGTCACAGATACTTGGTCTCAATACTTGGTCTCAGACCAAAAAGAAAAAGGTGCATAATGTAAAGAAAACAAACAGAAAAGCCAGCTGGTGTTCAGGGTTATGGAAGCATGGGGGGGGGCATACATTTATGTACAGGAGGAGCACAGTATCCACGCCACGGGAAATCCCACTGAGGAGGCAGCAGTGACTGAGACCTGAAAGATGTCGTTACAGCAGTCTTGGAGCAGAGGCAAAGAACACAGTGCAAAATCCAGAAGAAAGCATACTTGCACTCAGGAGGCTGAGGCAGTTGGACGGGCAGTGTCGGATACATAGGACTTAAATTCAAAGCCAGCCTGCGCTACATAGCAAGACCTTGTCTCAAAATTCAAAATAAACAGAGAAGCCTGCCTTGCTCTGAGAAACAGAAATGTCCAGTTGGGTGTATCTAGAGCACGGTGCACCCATGACTGACCGAAAGCAGGAAGGTGGGCAGGAGATAAGTCTTGTTTTATCCTAAGTACCCAAGCTCGGTCATTCTGTGCAAAACCCTAGGAAAGTCCATTTGGAGGCAATTACAAACACAAGAGGGAAATGACAGCAGCCTAAATGAACGCGGTGGCAGGGTAATTTCCACAGTCCTGGGCAAGGACGGCGGGAGAACAGATGTGGAGAGAGACAGAAGTGGATCTCCTTTGGGTGTGAGCCGCTAATCTGACGCTGTTCTTAGGTCGTGTGCGGCTGAGGGAGGCATATGCAGCTTCAGTGGGGAATTTAAAAAAAGAAAAGAAACGTTTTACCTTCTGCTTTTCAGGGGTTGGGGAGGGGTAGGGGGGCTGTCTGTCCTAATTCTCCTTCTTCGTTGAAAAGTTCCCAAGGAAGGACTGGAGGGCACTGACAGCGTCCAGTTTTAGGCGACCCCCTTCCACTCGGGACAAACTGGAGAACCGAGTCCTCGCGTATTTATTGAGCATCTACCGTCTCCCAAGACCTCACCGACGGGGCGGCACCAAGTCAGCGTCGAGGAAGCCATCTTAACCCCGGCTCCTCCTGGCAGTTAGCCCCCCGCCCTCCCCCCAACCCCCGGTTCTGCAGTGCTCGCTGTCGTTAACGCTCCGGGCTTCTCCCCTCACGCTACGCCGCCGAATGCCCAGCGCAGTCCCCCTCCACACATCCGCGTCTCGACAAGCAAGGCGGCGCCGGCGGGGGCGGGGCGGGGCGGGGCGGCGGCCCCCGCCTGCAAGGCTAGGGCTTCGGCGGGAATGGTACCTTTGGAAAGCTCGCGGCTGCCCCCGCGCTTACGTGCGCCTTCTTCAAGTCCACTTTTAAGTGACAACTCTAGGCCCTAGGCCGCGGGGTCTACTGGGGAGCAGCGGGCGCGCTCTCCGCGGATCTCCACGCCGGCAAGACGCGGACCGGCTCCCCCCGGCGCCTTCCGTGTCCTCGCAGCGCCGCGGCGCAGGAGTCTGCGAGGGGAGGGCGGGGAAGGAAAAGACGCAAGACAGATTAAGTAATTGGCTCGCAAAAAAAAATAAAAGAAATAAAGAAATAAAACACAGATACTTAGGCTCGACCACCCCCCCAGCACCGGTTTTTCAAACACCCGCCCCACGGAGCCGCCCTGGCTCCGCCCCCTCGACGACGTCACACGGACTTCCTCCGCGGGTCTCCGCGGATTGGCCGGCGGGTCAGCCTCGGCGAAAACGGTTTGAAGCAGCGCTCAGCTTGGCTTCCGGGTGCGGGGCTTCCGTCGTCTTGAGCGTCCGACGCTGCCGTTGGGAGCGCGGAGGTTTTTGCTTCCGGGGCTTAACTGAGCCCCAGGGGCCGAGAGCGGCGGCCCCGCCGTTTGTTTCCGGTCTTGGGCTGGAGCACCCCCCGCCCCGTCCCCCGGCGCAGAGCTTTCTGGGAGCTCGCGGCTGCGATGGTCCGTGGGTGAGCCTGCGAAGAAGGTGTTGCGTGGGACCCCGCCAGGGTGAGCCGCAGCGGGGGGCCGTGGTGGTTCGTGGTCCCTGTGAGGGTGGCACCCGGAAGGCCGGGATCGCCGCCGGGGCCCCGGGGCGGGAGCGGCGGCCGAGCCGAGCACGGCGCGGCGCGGCTTGCGGAGGAAAGTCCTCCCCACGGGGTCTGTGTCAGCCGACCGAGGCCGAGCAGCCCTGTAGTGAGGTCGGAATTCTTAGTTGACAGCTCGAAGCTGAACGTGGGCCCCCAGGTTCTCTTGTTGCTGTAGCGACAAGTCTCGTGTAGCCCAGGCTAGCTTCGAACTCCTGATTCTCCTGCTGTTCGCCTTCCAGGCGCCTGGGACCACAGGAGTGCACCTAGCTCGGGGTGGGCTCTTGATGCTTCTCGGGGTGGGGTTCCGGCTTTCTGGGCATTGCTAGAGTTAGAGCGTACCCAAGGTCTTGTACATGCTGGGGTGACTGTCGTAGAAGAAAATTGGATCAACAAAACTGTCGGGTAGCGTTGCCCAGGTGAATGTCACCGGGTTTTAAACTAACTCTTAAGACACTGAAGTTTGAGACTGATCGGTGACTTTAGGAGAAATTTGGTGTTTTGTTTGCATTTTTTTTCTTTTTGGTTTATTTACTGTTGTGTGAGGCTTCTTATAGAAATGCGGATCTTAGCTAGACGTGATGGTGGCACACCTTTAACTCCACCTTTCCAGAGGCAGAGTTGGCTTCTAGGCCAGCCTGATCCACATAGTTCCAGGGCAGCCAGAGCTACATCGTGAGACCCTATGTCCAAACAAAACAAATGCCGGGCAGTGGTGGCGCACGCCTTTAATCCCAGCACTCGGGAGGCAGAGGCAGGCAGATCTCTGTGAGTTCCAGGAAAGCTTCTAAAGCAATACAGAGAAACCCTGTCTGAAAAACCAAAACCAAACACACGCAAAAAAAACTCAACCTAGTGCTAGTATATAGGGTAGAGCTCACATACCCAAGATACACGCCCCTTTGGGACAGGCGAGAGATAAAAGAGAAGAGAAAGTAAGCCTCTAGGATGCTGACTGCGTTCAGAGAGCTTCCCAGCTTCTCTCGTAAGTAATTTCTCCTGATAATAAACATCCTTGCCTCCAAGTTGCATTGATTCCTTGTCACTAGTAGGATAACAAGAATTTTTAAGACAATCATTTATTTTAAAAGCCACATTGCACTGTTGTGTGAGATCTGCCATCATGTGTCAGAATTCTCATAATACTACAGAAATGTCAGCATTCCATAGATGACAAAACCAAGCTAGGAGACTTGCCCAGGGCTACCTACCTAGAACAAAAGCACAAACTCAGATCTTCATATAAGTTGTTTTTGTTTGTGTGGGTTTTCTTTTTTAACTTAAGAGCTGCCTGGCAGGACATAATAGTGTACACCTTACCTTGAGTTTCATAATTCTGCACTTTTAGAAATTTCTGTTAAAGCAAACTATTTAAGCAATTTGGGGGAGAGTTTTGAAAATTAGTCATAAGCATAGATATTTATGAATGATTTCTAAGATGAGAGAGTTCTACTGACTATAACTTAATCTCACTTTTGTCCAAGGATAAAAGATGACGACAGCAGCCAGGCCGACTTTTGAGCCCGCGAGAGGCGGGAGAGGGAAAGGAGAAGGGGATTTGAGCCAGCTCTCAAAGCAGTATTCAAGCAGAGACCTCCCCTCTCACACAAAGATAAAATACAGGTAATGATGCCCTGTTCACAGAACGGGACCCAACCTGCATGACTTCTGATTGTCTCTACATTGTTGTATCTATGTTACCTGTTTTCAGAGAAATGGGATTCAAAGGAGTGTGGTTTTTCAGGGATTCCTTTGTGGGGTGAAGCACTCATCCGTGATAAGTACCTCCAAAAAGGCTGAGCTGTAGGAATATGAAGTGTTACTGTGGCAGTCCTTGAGCTGATTAATATTTTAAACAGCCAATGACACTTCATTGAGTCTGCAGCCGTATTGGAGGAAAATGCATGCTTCGGTTTGTTCTAAAAATAGTAATACTGAGAACCATCGCCCGCACCTATTAATAACCTTCACACTGGAATATTATCTTGTCTTTCATTTTATGCGGGAGGGACGGTTGTATTCTGAATTGTGTTAAATTGCTGTAGCCATATGGATTTTTTTCCTTGACAATTGAGAGTAACATTTCTAACCCAGTTTCTTTCTGCTTAAGGCAAACTACACAGGATGCCCCTGAAGAGGTTCGCAGCCGTGACTTTAGGAGAGAGTTGGAAGAGAGAGAGAGAGCTGCTGCAAGGGAAAAAAATCGGGACCGACCAAACCGAGGTACCACACTGTCCCGAGTTCTGTCTCAGAGTTATGTGGTGGGAATTGTTTGTGTCTTGGTCATGGAGATGGCATTTTTGTGCACTGTACCTCTTTGATAAATGATTAGAGATGATAATGGGGCTCATTCCAGTCCCATTTTCTCATGCTTTGGTATTAGAAGAAACGGTGATCTGGAGTGTCTAAAGCCATCATTTCAGAACCTGTCATAGACTTTCGACTTTACAGCAGCTGGGACCCAGGCCTTCTGTCTAGAGCTACCCAATTTTATTCATTCCTCCGTGTGACTGAGAAGCATCAGTGACCCTTCTTGTGTTTCTGGGGTGTGTAAGCATTGGTAAATTTCCTGAGATGCTGCAGTCCTCAATACTCTTTAATCCATTTAATATTTACTGCCACATATTTCTCAAAGGGTTTTTTGCCAGCCACTGGGTGAATCCCTGTCTGCCACTATGTTTTGTGCGGATTCTTTTCGCCCAAAAGTTTCTAAAATGTTATTTTAAAATGCAGTGTTTATTTCATTAAACTAAATGTTTGGTTTTTTTTTTCAGAACATACAACTTCCTCTTCAGTGTCAAAGAAGCCCCGCTTAGACCAGATTCCTGCTGCCAACCTTGATGCTGATGATCCCCTCACAGATGTATGTTTTAGTTTTTAGTTTTTTCTTTTTAACACTTCCTAAGTGCTGGAAATGGGCCTCTGCCACTGGGCCCAGCTTGTCATATTTTCTTGACTTTTTCTTTTTCTTTTGATTTCTTGACTTTTTCTTTTTATTTTGACTTTGTGAAATGATCTGTATTTATTTTCACCTACTGTTACTGAAATGTATCATTTACCTCAACTTTAACCTTATTAACTGTTTTTAAAACAAAGTGTTCTCCTGCGTCAAATCTTTTACTAGAGGCTTAGTTTGGAGGGCTGCATGAAATCAGTTTGTGAAAAAGGATGTGTCCACCTATGACCGAATTGTCAGTGGTGTAGAAGGTTAAGCTGCCTTGCTGTAACTCCACAGGACACCCTCAGGCTGAGGAGTGCCCTGTGAGCCTTTGAGCATTCCACCTAGTTCTGCCTTCTATTTTCCTTAGATATATTGCCCTTCTTAGACACATAATGTGCATGGGCCCCTTGGTGATTAGGGAGGCAAGTAATCTGAACAGATTGAGCGTGAATGCTCCTGGGACCCTACAGCCTTTTTTGTTGTGTTAGCTCAGGCTGGCCTAGTAATCACAGCCTCCAGCCTCATGCTTGAGCCTCCTGAGTGCTGGGTTTACAGATGCATCTCCTGCACTGACTCCCAACCTCACTTTGGCACTTCCTATATAACTGAACATATGTGAATGACCTTAAATTGCAGACATATGTCAGCAATTATAGAGTAGGCAGAGAGTTATTAAAATAACCCTTACACTAAGTGAAATTCTGTTATTCACTCAAAATTTTTCTTTTGGAATCTTAGTGCCCTCACCTGCTGACTTAGTCATTTTGAGCTACATGAACTTTTTTGAGGTGAGACACTGTGCATTGTACTGTGTTTCATTCTGACGGTTACTTGTTTTGGAATGTTTCCATAGAAAAATGCTTTTTGGCCTGGTGGTAATGGTACACATCTTTAATCCCAGCACTCAGGAGGTAGAGGCAGGCAAGTTCCAGGACAGACAGAGCTGTTACACAGAGAAACCTTGTCTTGACAACCCCCTCCCCCCAAAAAAAGAAAACCCTTTTTGACCATCTAAATATGAAAGGTATTTTACCAGGGATTGACATTTTAGTTAGTATTCATGAATTTTGTTGGGTTTTATTTATTTTTATTGGTTGTTAGTCTTAACTACGATATTTGGTGCATTTGGTTTTCAATTAGGAAAATTCATTTTGTTCCAAAGACTTGGTGAGTATAGTTTCTGTGAGAAAGGTGGATAACGTGTTTTCTTTCTGGATCCTGGGTCGCCTTGATCTGCCATAGGAGGAAGATGAGGACTTTGAAGAGGAGAGCGATGACGATGATACTGCAGCTCTTCTTGCAGAGCTAGAAAAAATAAAGAAGGAAAGAGCTGAAGAGCAGGCCAGAAAGGTAGGGTTTGGTATTCACGTTTCTCCACATTCTAAAGCAGAGTTCTTTTTCACTCCAAATATTGTAATACCTGTAGACCTGTCTTTTTAAAATGGCATTCTAACTCCCCTAATTACATTAAATACCTTTCAGATAGTTCACACAATGCTCAATTTATGAGTGAACAAATGAGTGAACTTTAGTCTCTAATTAAATGTAAGGTGGTTTACCTCACTTGTTTCTCAAGCTTCCTAGTGCTGCAACTCTTTAATACAGTTCCTCGTGTTGTTGTGACCCCAACCATAAAATTATTTCATTGCTACCTCATAATTATACTTTTGCTACTATTATGAATCATAACGTAAATATCTGTTTTCTGATGGTTTTAGGCAACCCCGGTGAAAGGCTCATTCTACTGCCCTACCCTCCCCAAAGGGGTTGCAACTCATAGCTTGAGAACCAGTGGTCTACAAAGATTCTTTTCCTGTTTCCTGCCTAATTTGAAACACTCTGTCTCAAAAAACTGAATAGGTTTTATACAGTCCAGACAAGTTACCTAGTTTCAATATCTGTAAAGGGAGGCTTTTCATTGCTAGCCCCTTTGGTTTATCAGCCGCCAGTCGCCTGGGCTCTGCCGCATTGTAGTCCCCAAATAACACACAAGATGCTGTATTAATTATGAAGCTGTTGGCCTTGCTTGTTTCTTACTGGCTAGCTCTGACTTAAGTATTTACCCCATAACTGTTAATCTAAGTATTTCTCTTACCAGAGCAAAGTTTCCGGGCTTCTTATCCCTATTTCAGTTACATCTTGACTCTCTGTGTTTCTCCTACCCAGAGTCCTCCTTGACTCCTAGTCCCACCTATCTTGCTTCCCTATTGGCCAACAGTGCTTTATTGACATATACACAGGACTTCCCCAACAAATATCCACAATCTCTTCACCTGTACAATGGGAGAAAATAGTATCCAAGTCAAAGAATCACTAAGCTAGGTCCTAGTGCTGAGCGCTCAAGCAGTTTTCAGGGTTGAGAGCTCCCTGGGCTACACAGAAAGTAGAGTGTTCAATAGAGTGCTGGAGTTTGTAAAGCAGTGCTAAGGAAGTCAGGCTTTTGTTCGGTGGGATCATGGATGTCAGCAGGATTAATGTCTTGACAAAGGTAGAGAGATGGAAAAAGTCTGAAGCTGTTTCAGTGCTCCTCCTGTGCAATGAAATGAACATAATCTGCATGGTGAGAGTTAAAAGTAAGAGCTAGAGAGATGGCTCAGGGGTTAAGAGCACTGGCTGCTCCTGCCGAGGTCCCGAGTTTGATTCCCAGCACCCATGTGGTGGCTCGGTTTTAGGGGATCTGGCACTTCTTTCTGGCCTCCTCAGTCATCAGGCATGAATGTGGGGCATAGACAAACCTGCAGACAAATACCCCATAAAAGAAAAACTAGAAGAAAAGGAGTGCAAGTGAGCGAGGTGAACGGGTGGTAAAGTTCTCAGGGAGGTGGGTAAATCACCTCCATTGGGGGTCCATTGGTTCTGTGATCTGATACTTGGAGAGTGGAAGCCTGGGCCTGTTGAGAGAAAGAGGTCATTGAGTTTCATATTGAACACATAAAGCATCGACTTAGAGGCCTCTGCTCCATATCCAACCAGAGCAGCACAGCTTTTGTGTGGACATTGGTGTAGGATTTTATTTCAGCCAGTAATTGTTCTGTTTTTAAAAAGAAAGGGGAAAAGACTTGAGGGAAAAGCACTCGTGTGGACCAACACCAAGCACCTCGGGAAGTTGAGTTCATGTGAGTCAGAAGGGTCAAGGAAGAATTCAGAAAAGGGACTCGGAGGCTGTCCAAACTCAGAGTGGAAGAAAGCATAACAATTCTCATCAAGTAATAGTTCTCATTAAAGTTTGGCATAGAGTGCCTAATTCCTGTAATAAACAGCTTCAGTTTTGTATCTTTTTTTTTTTTAATTTTCAAGAAGAGTCATTGGCATGCCACTAGCGGGCACCTGCTAGATGCCTAACTGTTGGTTTTCTCGTTGACTCTTAGGGAATAGGTAGGCATTTTTTAAGGTCTTAAGAAGTTGTTGGAATTTCATGTAATGTATTGGTATTTCTTGGAGTTGAGTGACAGCTTCACATCTTTTTATCCCTGTCTCCTTACCTTAGCTGCTTTTTTAAGGTGTTTTACAGTAGCAACATATTCAACCCAATTAGCCTATTGTTAGGGATCAGCACACTTCCCGTAAGGACCAGACAGTAAATACTCTTGTGAGGCTGGTCACCCAGCTGTATTGTAGTGTCTCTGTTGCTATTACAGCACGGAAGTGGCCACAGTGCCTGTGGAAATAGGGTGGCCATGTTCTCCAAAATCTCAAGCCTGGGGGAGAGTGTAGATTTGATCCACAGGCTGTCTGACCATTCACCTACAAGTTTGGCATCGGGTAGGGAAGGAATTGGCTTTTCTTCCCAGTGCTGTGTGTTAAGTGTAAGCCTGAATGCATTATATGCGTACTCCTGGTTTTCTGGCATCTTTGGAAAACATCTGTTTTTACCTTCATTTGTTTTGCTGGATTCGGGGACAGCTTTCAAAAATCAGTTCTCTCCTTCCATAGTGTGGGAACCGGGGGTTGGGTTCAGGCCGTCAGGCTTGTGACAGGCACCTTTACTGGCTGAGTCAGCTCAGCAGTTCCTCCCACCCCAATAAAGCGGATCACTTTTAGAAAGTTTTCAGTCTCCACAGTGACCTAAAAGATTTTCCCCACAAGTGACATCCTCTCACCCACCAGTTACTTGTCCTGGTAAAAATGAAACCCATTGTCCACACTTCATATTAACATATGTATCAGGAGCCTTTATGGAAAATTAGGCTCACTTTAGAGTGACTCCTAGGGAGTCCCTTCATCGATTTGATACTTGATTTAAGTTGTGTTAGCAGATAACTATGAAAATGACAGGAAAGAATTCTAGAAATTTAGCATTTCTCATTCTTAAATAGGGTGATCTGAATTTGAAGGAAATGATGCTAAAATAAAAGTGAAAAAAAATTATATAGACATGATGACTCATACCTGTAATCCCAACACTTGGTGGCTATGGCAGGAAAATCACAGGCTGAATACCAAACACAGCTAGTAATGAAAACTTGTGTCTTTAAAGCAAAAGAGAGCATGGGCAAGATGGCCCAGCAAGGACCCACATGATGAGAGAACAGGTCCCTGCATTTGTCCCCTAACTGTCATTGCAACATAGTACCCATATGCACACATGTACACTAAGTAAACATAAAAATGCTTCTTAAACAGTTATAACCATGAAGAAAGTATATAAGGTATATTAGATCATTCACAATAAAGCATAAAAGCAGAAGGTATTTTATGATAGTTTGTGTTGTCTTAGGAATTGCTCCTTAGTTAATAACTAAGCAATTCTAGAGATGGAAGCTTACATTATTAGTAATGTAAAATTAAATTTACATTAAGTAGCCCTTTAAAAAGTGAGGCAGTCACCTTGCTGAGCTGTTCTTTGACAATATGTTCTTAAATTTTAAGTGTTTATTAATATGCTCCTAAACTTAATCTGTAAGTAACTAAATTAAGTGCTTACATCTGCATCTTAGCTTCTCACACTTGAGAGACTGATGACTATGTTGGCAAGGATGAGATACTTGTAGTAAAAATGGCAAAGTATTTACTTTTTATAAAGAAGTTTTTCTGGCATGTATCAAGAATCAAAAAGAGGAGTGAGTCAGTTGGTAAAGGGCTTTCCTGCCACGTGCCAAGCCCTAGGTCCCATCCCTAGCACCAAAAAACTGGGCCTTGTGCATGCCTGTGGTGCACAGCCATGCACTCAGGAGGTGGGTCAAAAGTTCAGGGTCATCCTCTGCTACCTGGCAAGTCCCATGCCAGCTTGGGCTACAGGAGAACCTGTCTCAACAAAGAAAGGAAAGAAGGAGAAAGAAAACTGTCTTTTCTCCCTGTACGGTCTGGCAGATGCTCATTTGTGGACCAATGTAAGACAACTGACCTGCAGTTCGTAACTTTGTGTCTCCCTCTGTCATTGACAGGAACAAGAACAAAAAGCAGAGGAAGAGAGAATTCGGATGGAAAATATTCTGAGTGGAAACCCCCTCCTAAATCTCACTGGCCCATCCCAGCCTCAGGCCAACTTCAAGGTTAAAAGAAGGTACTAAAAGTAATGGGTGGGCTGGATGGTGGTGGCGCACACCATTAATCCCAGCACTTGAGGAGCAGAGACAGGTGGATCTCTGTGAGTCTGAGACTAGGCTGGTCTACAGAGTGAGTTCCAGGACAGCAGGGCTGCATAAACCCTGTCTTAACCAAGGGTGATAAAAAGTAATGGGTTAATCTATGTGCATGGTCCATGATTTGTATTATATGTTACATAGTAAGGCTTCTAAGACCCCACCTCCTATTTATAACCTCAATCAGATTTTAGAATGATGGGAGAAGGAAGAGGGGCAGGATGACTTCATTTGAATGCATACTCATAACAACCAAGTCTCTGCCTAGTCATGGTCTAAACATGACCACTAGCTTCATGACTGTAGCTATGAAACCTGTGTGTGAGATATGAGTGGAAGGCCGTCAAGGCCGCCCCTCACAGTTCAGCTCTGGAAGGATTCAGGGAACTTGCCATGAGTTTATTGATGTTTGATATTATAAGCTACACACAGGTCATACAGTTGTGAGTATTCATAGGTATACGTCCAGGTCACGAGGTGGAAAGACATAAACTTCCTTACACTCCTGTTCCCTGTAATGTCACTAAACAGTGTCCTGCAGGAGCACCTGTTGGGTAGAGTCAAGTTGGTTGTGTACTGTAGGCACAATGACGGTGAGAGGCGATGCAGGTCTCCAGTGCCGGCCAAGGCTAAGCTTAAGCCAGGCTGGGAGGGCACTGTCTGCACTGCATGTGGGGGAGGGCACTGTCTGCACTGCATGTGGAGGAGGAGGGCACTCTCTGCACTGCATGTGGAGGAGGAAGGGCACTCTGCACTGCATGTGGAGAAGGAGGGCACTCTCTGCACTGCATGTGGAGGAGGAAGGGCACTCTGCACTGCATGTGGAGGAGGAGGGCACTCTGCACTGCATGTGGAGGAGGAAGGGCACTCTGCACTGCATGTGGAGGAGGAGGGCACTCTCTGCACTGCATGTGGAGGGGGGCACTGTGCACTGCACGTGGAGGAGGGCACTGTCTGCACTGCATGTGATGTGGAGGAGGAGGACACTGTCTGCACTGCATGTGGAGGGGGGCACTGGAGAGCTGGGGAAGTATGTACAGTGTGATAGCAGGTGAGGATGTAGGAAGAAGAATGAGCGCTTACAAAGACACTGCGGGCAGTGTGGCCCTGTGTCAGCAGTGAGGCCTCCTGTTGCCTTCCTGCTCACCCCACTGCTGTCTCGTCAGCACAGGAGCACTGCCCCAGCCGCCCCGCCCTCCTGCACCTCACCACACAGTTCATGTCCCTGCTCGCGTACAGAGAAAGCTCCATCTTCATCCAAGCCCCTTTCTCATCCCAGCACCCTGGATCTTTAAAGTCACCATGGTAGCTGCTTTTTTCTTCACTTGATCACAGTAAAAGAACAGTCCTTGTGGTGACTTAAAGCTAAAGATTTAACACACATTCCTGAAGACAACAGAACAGTCAAGGGAAGCTTTGCTGACAACCAGCAGTTTATCAGACAGCAGACTCTAAGCATTTGACCTGAGCAGTTGTAGGGCAGGCATGGGGAGGAGTGTGTCTTATACTGAGCATGAAGGAGGAAACAGGTTTCAAGCATGCTAGGTTTGGATGCTCTGTACGTCTCTAAGTGCATCTAGCCTGTGTGTTTCTGCAGTTGGGTCAAGCTGGTAATAGTCACCAGCATGGGCAGGGGGAAATGAGGGCTGTGTCAGTGCCTGGAGTAGTGCGCAGCATAAGCTCAGAGTAAGTACTTAGAAACTAGTATTTGGATTTAAAATCCTAGGCTAAGGCTAAGCAGGCAGAGAGGAGGACAGCCAAGACATTCCCATGGTGTTGTGAGAGGAGATGAGTGGTGGTCTAGGAATGCCGTATGCCCTTGTGAATGCTACTATCTTAGCAACACAGAGGGAGGGGCAGTTTGCGTGCTGGAAGCAAGGGACCGAAAACTCATTGGGAATGAGTTAAGAGGGAAACAACGATAAGTTGCATGTTGAGTATGAAGCAGTCTGGTTTATTCTTCCCTTTGTGAATGCAGGAGCAAAATATCCCAGTTGCACCAAACTGCTCAGCTTCTCACATGTGCTACGTCACTGACGGCAAATTTACTCACAATTTCCATTAAGTGTGTATAGTCCTCGCTCATTTTCCTTGTGCAGTTTCTCCTGGTAAACACACATCGGCGCACACTGGCACGTTATGTAGGCAGTGTTTTATGTGTGCTTGTGTGCGGCTTTGTCATGGGGAGGGCTTTATGTTCTGTATGGAGGTGCTGCTCTGGAGTTAGGCACTCTGCTTTCCATGGGTGCTTTCTGAAATCCAGCCGAGTTCTCCTCTGAGCTCCTCAGCAGATACTTCGTCACTGTTAATGGAGACTTGGGCCAATCTGTAAATCTTAATTGTTACAGTCCTGTAGTTCCTTCTTTTGTTGCATTATGTGTGAGCAGCATGATGGATATAATTGATTAGAAGTACAAAGCAGCAGGTAGCGATCACTTACTGTCTAGTGGTGTGGGGTCAGGACCATGGCCCTGCCTCTTGGTTTTAGACCTGAGCACAGTATGTGTGTCTGCTTCGTAACTCAGCTGCTCCCCTTAGAGGAGTGGTGTGTGCTCTGAGTATCTGAGTATGGCGCCTCCTGCTCTGACAGCCCACCACAGGCCACTGGCTCTTCTGCTGTCAGGTGGCAGCTTGTTGAGTGTCTGTGTTGATTAAGTCTTACAGCCTGTGTGGTATTCCTGTTTCCTGATAGAATTATAAGGGATTTGTTTTCTTTTTTTCTCTCTTTAGGTGGGACGATGACGTCGTTTTTAAGAACTGTGCAAAGGGTATAGATGATCAGAAGAAAGACAAAAGATTTGTAAATGATACACTTCGATCTGAATTTCACAAAAAGTTCATGGAGAAATATATTAAGTAGTACAGTTTTATGTGCTTAATTAAAGTCTAATAAAATGTTAGGGATCAATTTGACTTTTGGGGGGTTTGTTCTTTCCAGTTCGAACTTTCTCAACCTCTCCCCCTTAGTGTGGTGTTTTATCTGATAATGGATTTAGAGGTGGGTCTGACCAGTTTCCAGTCTCTAAATGTTTCCGGTCTTATTTTCTTTTTAATATAGGGAAAAGGGAATCTGCTTGGAATAATTATTTTTAACCTAAGTAAACCGGTGTCCCCAACTTTTTGTCATAATTTATGCAGCTTATAGAAAGTTGCATAATTTCTTTTCAAAATGAAAAGTACCTTTATGTATTGTTTTTAATGCATTAAATTTTCCCTTTATCTCACATTGATTTGAGGTCCACTGGTAGATGACAGCACTGTATTTTTTAAGTGTGGTGGAGGATAAGGGGATTCCACTTCAGAGAACATGTCACCATAAGTCACCTGGGGTGGGTTAGGAGATGCCTGCTATGTCAGTCTTGCAAACAATATTCTTTTCTTTTGGCCTGACATCCATTCCCAGAACATAGATGAGTGCAGATACTCATTCATGTCCTTTGAAGCTATGTCCACACACTGAGATAGATACCAAGCTGTCTTGAGGTTTACATTAATGCTGACAAAGCTATTCTTTGAATGGCTTATTGTCATGGAAGATATTTCTGTGCCAAGCCAGAGGGAAAAATACAGCCATAAAAAGCATAATTTCTAAGAAATGTAGCTTTAAATGTGCCACGTTGATAGAAAATTTGGGACCACAAATTGAGCCTTTCCCAAATGGGAAGCATTTCCTTTCTTTTAAGATATTTTGCTGCATAGGCTCACTTCAACTGGGCAGCCGGAGCTCTTAAGAACTGGGGCTTCCAGATGTCAGCAACCAAGCCCAGGTCAGACTTTTAAAAATCAATTGGCATGTCTCATTTCCTCTTGTTATTTAGCCATTAAAAAAGAGAAAGCATACTAATTTGTTGCTCTTGCAGAGGACATTCCGTTTCTGTCACAACAGTCTCCAGGGATCTAATGCCTTCGTCTGGCCTTCATGCACTACACCCAGACACATAGAGAAAAAGATGCAGATTCATCTGTGTAGAATTGACACCGTTGTATGTTGCCTGAATTGAGAGTGAAGCTGGGAAGGGAGCGAGGTCTCCATCTCACAGCATCCTTTGAGTCTTTGTAAAGGTTGGGTCTCTTTTTCCTCATTTGTAGCATGGCTGTGATTGTCTCCCTAGCCCCATTCATAAACTACACTCCTGCAGAGTTTCTACGGGAGTACATTCTAGTTCTGAAACCGTTTTCACATGCCAGCTCTCTTAGGGATTTCTCATTTCCTTTTAATAAAATGCACTGTTCTCTCCTGGCCTGGATCACGGAGCCCTGTAAGAGGGAGAAGGGAAGAAGAATGTGTGCCAGGTTTCCAATCCAAAATGCCTTTTCCTCATTCAGTGATTCAAATTCCTTCCCTTTTTGACAGAGAGGGGCGGTGATAGGGAAAGGGGGCTAGCTAATCAAAGCAGCTGCCTCAGAGCATGCCCATGTCAGCAAGTGTCACAGCCCGAGGCTGGGTAGAGGACAGTTCCATTGAGACTAAGACATCCTCAACACTCAGGGCTCCTTCAAAGTCCCTAGTCCTATGCCTGTTCCAGAAGGTTGTTAGATGAGAACTAGGGCTGAGTCTCTCCCTTGAATCCTTTACTTCTAAGAAGCCAAAGGGCGTTGTGGTGTTTTCTTGTCTTGCCAGGTCCCACCGCCCTTCTCAGCCCCAAATAAGCACACAGAGACTTATATTAACTATAAAATTGTTGGCGATGATTAGGGCTTCTTACTGGCTAGCTCTGTCTTAATTATTAACCCATTTCTATCAGTCTATGTATTTCCACGTGGTCTTGACTTACTGGAGAATGTCTGGACCTTCTCCTCTGCTGACTACATGGCAACTGTCCTTGGTAGGCTCCCTCTGCCTACCTTTCCCAGAATTCTCCTCCTAGCCCCGCCTGTCTTCCTGACTCATTGGCCAGACAATGTTTTATTCATCAACCAATAAGAGAAACGTGTATACAGAAGGGCGTCCCCCATCAAAAGAGAGAAGTAAAGCTGCCAGTGAGAAAACTGAGAATAACTAATAGGTGGCAATGTCTGGGCAGCAAATAAATCTCCTATGCACAGGCAGGTCCCGCAGATACCCAGATCCTGTGCAGGTCATTTCATATCACCTGGCTAAGCTGCTGTCATACCACCCACCTCTTAAACACTTAGTGAATGACCACCAGTCAGAAGATAGAAAGCTCCCATTCACCGTAGCTACAGAGAGTATAAAACACATAGTCATAACTTAACAAGAATGTGCTGAAACTCTCAAGAAAACTAACACTATTCTGGGACACTTCATAAGTGGGAGGGCTCAGTAGTTGAAAGTTAGTTCCCCAGCCAAGAGAAATCACAATTCCAGTAGTTTCCTTCCTTTAAAAAGTTAATATTTGAAGCCAAGCATGGTGGCACATGATGCCTTTAATCCCAGTAATCAGGAGGCAGAGGCAGGTGGATCTCTTGAATTTGAGGCCAGCTTGGTCTATAAAGTGGGTTTCAGGACAGCCAGGGCTGTTACCTAGAGAAACACCAAAAGAAAGTATTTGAACAAACTATTTAAAATGTTTCCATTAGAACAAATTTGTGATGATGTAGCATGTCCTTAATTCCAGAGGCAGATGGATCTCTGAGTTCTAGGCCAGTTTGATGTATATAGTGAATTTGAGGCCAGCCAGGGATACATAGTAAGACCCTAGAGAGATGGCTCAGAGGTTAAGAGCACTGACACCTCTTCCTGAGGTCTTGAGTTCAATTCCCAGCAACCACATGGTGGCTCACAACCATCCGTAATGAGATCTGGTGCCCTCTTCTGCCGTGCAGGCATACTTACAGGCAGAACACTATACTAAATAAATAAAATCTTTTAAAAAAATAAAATAATAATAAATTTATAAGGATATCCAGAAAAATAGCTAACGGGAAGCAATAGTAAGAATTTTACCTAAGTTTTTAAGTCCCTCTTCCCCTCCCTCCCCCTCTCTGTATGTGTTTGTGAGGGCACGAGCATGCATAGCATGCGTGTAGAGGTTAGAGCACGGCTTTGGGTGTTGGCCCTCACCTGCTTTGAGGCAGGGTCGTTTTTACTGCTGCATTGCATACTCCAGGCTAGCTGTTGTCTAAGCTTCCAGGACCCCCGCCCCCATGTCTGCCTCTCATCTTGCTGTAGGTGTGATGGGATTACAGAGCATTCACTGCATTCAGCTTTCCTTGGGATTCAAGCTCAGACTGTCCTACAGCACTCTCTTCACTGAATCATTTCCCCTGGGCCTTCCCTACCAACTTTCAAATGGACTATAAATATGCAAATATTAGTATGCTTCTGCTGAAACTGGAGAGCTCAGATGTAGACGGTTCACACACAGCATACACCGTAGCAGAACATGCATGTTTCTTGTAAGTTGCTGTAGGCCTTTGTCCTGTTAGATTGTACTAACCCTTCTTCAAAAGAGGAAGCACCTGTTCGGCATTTCAAGTCCCCACTGCTGGATTTCATGAAAGTCAACATGGTAAAGTCCTGTGCGTTTGGTCTAGATATCACGTATTCACAGGCTAGTCTGGACTCAAAGCAGATACCAAGTGCTGATACCCAGAATGCTTCCGCAGGTACATCCCTGTAGAGGGCATGAGCTCTCTGTGCTCACAGGTAAGAACTGGGGAAGCGGGATGTTAAGCGTTCAGGCTTCTCTATTAAACAGAGGAGACATGTATGCCTGTTTTCCATCCAGAAAGTTGGGAGTGGTTGTTTTATACTGGTGACCATACCAGATCCTAAGCCCTTAAGCTATAGAACCCATCTTCGTGGTAGAGGCCACGTGTGCTATGCAAAACAGTTTCAACATTGTCAATCCTTAAGCTTTATTGTACACATGGAATTGATACAACTGTTAGCAGGAAGCTTTTTTTTTTTTTCAAAAGTGTGCTCTACTCAGATATGTCTGAAACAAACTGCACGGTGCCGGGTTCCGGATGTTTGAACCAGTACCACAAACCAGATTGTGCTGAGCCAGACTTTCTCGCCTCTCCCAGATTGTTTCTCTGCTGCCATTAGCATTTGGAGGGACCCACATAAATGCCCATGTGCAGACATTCGCAGTATTTCTCCTTCCCCGGTGGTTTCTCCATCCCTTAACACACACAGCTGTACCCCTCCCGCTGCTTCAGCACCATGGACCGGTGGCTTGCTGTATCCCACACACTCTGAGAATGGGCAGTGACAAGAGACTCCCGGACCCTGGGACCAAGAGAGAAATCATATTTGTACCTTGAAGTCAGACAACCCTGAGCTCCTGGCCTTCCTTCCTGCGGCCTGAGCAAATTGATGTTAGTAGCCATTGTCAGAAGCCTAAATTTCCCTTGTTAGAGAAATAGACCCCCAAATGTTTGGTCCCCTATAATTCTGTTCTATATTAAACTGCTCATAGATTTTCCTTGTCAAGATTATGACTCTTAGATATTCATACACAAATGTATAAAAGATGTTCAAAAATGCATGTTGAATGACCATGCCCATCACCGGCACAGGGTGAGGAGGCAACCCACTTGACTAAGGCGAACAGGCTCTGAGTAGCAATCAGACAAGATGCTTTGTCCTGAACAAAGCCTGGCCCTGTGGGACACAGAACACTCTTACATGTAGTAGGTTCTCTGTTTTCTCTCCCCTCCCAGACTGTACTGACAATAAAACTCTTGACTGAAGAAACAGGAGATTGTGCTGGTTCCTCTTTCACTGGGCCCAGACTGAGAGATCTCAAACTGTGAGCCTGCTGCTGGCCTTGGAGGATTTTATTTGCTGAGCTTTTCATGTTGTTAGAAATTACACTCCTTGAACAATATTAAGAAGGAGGAAATTTTGCCGGGCGGTGGTGGTGCACGCCTTTAATCCCAGCACTTGGGAGGCAGAGGCAGGCAGATATCTGTGAGTTTGAGGCCAGCCTGGACGACAGAGT